ATGCACATGCGCTCTCTCTCTCTCTCTCTCTCTCTCTCGTATTGCAGGTACTTGAATAGGGTTGCCAACCTCTAGGTGGGGCCTGGAGATCTCCTGGAATGTCAACTGATCTCCAGACTACAAAGATCAGTTCCCCAACTCCTGGGGGAAAACGCTGCCTTGGAAAATAGCATTATATCCCTCTGAGCTCTGCCCCCCCCAAACCCTGCCTTTCCCAGGCTTCACCTCCCCCATCATCAAGAAGTTCCCAACCCAGAGTCGGTAGCCCTCAAGCTTGGGCATAGCCAGGGTCATGAACAGAAGGGCAAGATCCATGGCTCATTGCCTGTGGCCTAATGGACCAAACCAGTAAAAAGCTCATGATGAAGAAGAAGAGAAGAAGAGATTGGATTTATACCCCGCCCTTCACTACCCAAGGGAGTCTCAGAGCGGCTTACAAACTCCTTTCCCTTCCCCTCCCCACAACAGACACCCTGTGAGGCAGGTGGGGCTGAGAGAGCACTGACAGAAACTACTCTGTTTCAAGGACAGCTCTTATCAGAGCTACGGCTTGCCCAAGGTCATCTAGCCAGGTGCAAGTGGAGGAGTGGAGAATCAAACTCGGTTCCCCAAGATTAGAGTCAGCGCACTTAACCACTACACCAAATTGGCTCCCCCAGTTTACACTGTACTTTGTAAGTTGCTTTAGTTCCTTGCAGGGGAGAAAAGCAGAATGAAAACAGCCTAAATTATATAATTTGTCCTGTTGAAGCACAAGTACCCCCCAGAAAGACTTCCTCTAGGCACTCATCATGTGAACACATGACGCTGTCTTATAGGAGGCCTTTTTATGAGTTTAGCATCCTCTCTTAAGTACTGGGAGAGCAGTCCTCTCAATAAACGCTCCTGCCATTTTGTGTGTATTTTCCAGTTTTAAAAAAATTGATCAGAAACCGAGTTTTTCGATGGCACGCATTTACGTGTACTGAAGCTGGAAAGTATGCACATTCCCCTAGTCACGCTAAAATAGAAAGCACCTGTACTGAGAGGATTGCGCGTAGCGTGCACTCTCAGGACACGAGGTAAGAGATCGGAAACTGCGGCCGCTGAAAATAGCGAGCTGAGCCAGACCCTTGGACTTTCCAAGCCTGTATTGCCTGCTCTGACTGGCAGCAGCTCTCTGGGATCTCAGATTTCGGTCTTTCACATCACCTACTATTTGACCCTTTTAACTGGAAACGCTGGGGATTGAACCGGGGACCTGTCTGCATGCAACCGCCGAGCCATGGCCCCGCAGACCAGCCAGACTCAACCCAAGTAGAACATGACTTGCAGTTAGTCTGCAGTTACAGGGATGCTCTAGGCGGATGGCCTGTGTGGCCCCTTCCAACTCCATGATTCTATGATTCTGCCATTCCTCTCCAGGTGGTGGCTGGAGATTTCCTGGGATTACAATTGATCTCCAGGCAACAGATATCAGTTCACCTGGAGAAAGTGGCTGCTTTGGAGGGTGGCCTCTATGGCATTCTATCCCACTGATGTCCCCCCCCAAACCCCACCCTGTTCAGGCTCCACCCCCCAAATCTCCAGGTACTTCCCATCCTGGAGCTGGCAACCCCGCCTATCCTTCTCCCAAGGAGCTCTGTGCAGTGAACATGCCCCTCCCGTTTTATACTCACAAGAACCCTGAGAGGTAGGTTCTGTTGATTAAAAAGGGACTGGCTTAAGGTCACATGTTCCCTTTCTCTGTCCCTAAATAAAGTAGGCTCTGAATTTATAGCTGGTTTTCATGCCATGCCTGGGGCTTCTGAGGCCCGTTGCACCTAGTCAAGTGTGCCATCAACTTATGGGGTGAAACCTCAAGCTTTGTGTTTCCCCCTAGAACATTTGCACAGAGCTGCTGACAAGTACATGAATCGTACAAGGAAAAAGAAGAAGAAGAGGAGGAAGAGGAGAGGAGGAGATTGGATTTATACCCTGCCCTTCACTCAGCGTCTCAGAGCGGCTTACAAACTCCTTTCCCTTCCCCTCCCCACAACAGACACCCTGTGAGGTAGGTGGGACTGAGAAAGCTCTTTCCAGAACTGTCCTTGAGAAAACAGCTCTGACAGAACTATGGCTTGCCCAAGGTCATCCAGCCAGGTGCAAGTGGAGGCATGGGGAATCAAATACAGTTCTCCCAGGTTAGAGTCTGAGCATTTAACCACTACACCAAAAAGCAGGGTAGTGTTTAAGCCTATGTAGGATGAAGTTCTGCTAAAAGAGGAGACGTGTCTGTGTGGGGGGCATTGCCTGTGGCCTTGATCCCAATGCAAGGCTTCACGGCACACTCACCATTTTTTAACAAGGCTGCAGCGCATCGAATGTGATCACGTGTATCGCCTGTTGCACGTTGTATTCTTCTCTATCTTGCCTTTCCTCCCAGAAGCTCAGGGCTGTATGCATGGTTCTCCCCCCCTCCCCATTTTATCTTACATCATCCCCTATGAAGCAGGCTAGCAGACAGAGAAAGTGATGGCCTTTTATGGCTGAGGTGGGATTGGAACCCAAGCCTCCCCAGGTTGACATTCTAGCTACTACTCCACCCTGGCTTTCACTGCTCTTATTGTTTTGTTTCAAAGCACATGTAAATATCCTGTGGAAAAGCTTGAGCCTCCTCTCACGTGTATTTTGAAAGGAAAAAACCAACAACAAGCAAGTTTCCTAAATGCCTGCAGCATTCCTAACGGATGTGATATGTATGCATGTTGTACCTAGGGATTACTTCTTGAATACCATATTTCTTATACAAAGCAGCCCTAATGCTTTCCCTGAGTTGCATAAAATAATGCATAACATTCATACTTATCATCTATATAGCCTGAGAAGAGGGCTGGTTAGAGTTTGAAGCAGAAATTCAACAGGTGTAACTGCACCTGGTATAATTGAATCGTGCTGGGGAGATGTTGCACCTGTTGAATTTCCACTGGCCATCTAGGACATGATCTCTGCCATGAAAAATGGAGGCCACTGTAGCTTTGAGATCACCAAGGATCTGGAGCATTCCCTAATTCTGCAACAGGAAGTTAGGACCCTACCAATGTGCTCAGAGCAAGGAGGTGATCTTTCTGGGACTGTACCGCTTCGGAATGGAGGTGGGGGACCACATAGCTGAATGCTACATCAAAAATTAATTCCTCTGCAGGAGGAAGCTAGCCTAACCTCTCCAAAATGCTGGTTTTCATTAACTGTGTGTGTGGGGGTGCTTCTTACACATGAAAGCAAAGCATGTAGACTTGTGATTCCCCCATGTGCACTCTGAAGTAGACCCAGGAAGACTGTGGTGGTGGGAAGTGCAACCAAGTCACAGCCGACTCGGTAAGGGTTTCAAGGCAAGAGACAAACAGAGGTGGTTTGCCATTGCCTGTCTCTGAGTAGAACCCTGGACTTCCTTGATGGTCTCCCAGTCAGGTACTAACTAGAAGAAGAAGGAGAGATTGGATTTATACCCCGCCCTTCACTACCCGAAGGTGTCTCAGAGCGACTTACAAACTCCTTCCCCTTCCCCTCCCCACAACAGACACCCTGTGAGGTAGGTGGGGATGAGAAAGCTCTTGGCAGAAACTGCTCTTTTTCAAGGACAGCTCTTATCAGAACTATGGCTTGCCCAAGGTCATCCAGCCAGGTACAAGTAGAGGAGTGGGGAATCAAACCCGGTTCTCCCAGATTAGAGTCTGCGCACTTAACCACTACACCAAACTGGCTCAACTAGGGACGACACCCTGCTTAGTTTCTGAAATCTGATGAGACTGAGCTAACCAGGGCTTGCCAGCAGGCCTGGACAAAAGTGTCTTGTCCCTTTAAGAGAGGCTTAACGTGTAGAAATGGGCAGGTGAAGCTTTTCATGGCAACGAGAGAAATAACATCACCTGGTAAAGAAGCCTGCATTGAGGGGACAGGAGGCCTTTTCCTCAGGCACTTAGCAACCCAACCAGGTCAGATCAGGGAGACTGTACTCCTTGCTTTTTTCAAACATTTTTCCCCCCTAAAAATCACCTGGAACTTAACTAAGTGGTCACAACCTTGAGTCTCAGCGAGAAAGGCGGGCTATAAATAAGCAAGTAAATAAACAAATTCCACCCTCTCAGAAAGTGTGAGCCTAGAATGGCCTCTTGCTTTCCCCCATAGACAAATATTCTCATCTCTCCATATAGAGCTCCTGAATCTCAGTCAAAACTTACATATACCTGTCTCTAAACCCCAGTGCCCTTTTTAAGCCACAAGTTGTCTGCTTCTAGAGAGGTCAACCAAAACTGGAAAAGCAACAAGGAGAAAATTGTTTTACCCATTCTTTGTCCATCATTTCCTTACTTCAAATCTCCTACCAAATTGTTTCGATCCCTGCAGAATTCCAAATTTGGAACCTTGTGAATTGCATATATATCTTGGGGGGGGTGTCAATTGGGCAACGGGGAAGTGGCGGCTGGGCAAAAAGAATCAAGAATCCACCTCCTACCTCTCTGAAAGTAGCTTTTACTGTTAAAAAGGGGCCATTGGGGCATCATGTTGCCAGCTAGCCAGGGAAAAAAATGTCCTGTCATTTTAATAGGGGTTTTATATTCTTTGCATGGCGTGGAATTAAATAGCACCACCTAATAAATGCTGCAGATATTATAAAGAGACGACTAGAGGGACAGGTTGAAATGGTCAACCTACTAGGATACTGATATAAAACTATAGCAGGGTTGCTTGCCCGGGCGCCCCTGGGTGCCAGCAGGGGCTGGGGCTGGGTAGGGTTGCCAGCTCCAGGTCGGGAAACTCCTCAAGATTTGGGAGTGTGGCCTGGGAAGGACAGGGACATCCGTTTTCTCCAGGATAGTAAAAAGCCCAGTAGCTCCTTTAAGACTAACCGACTTTATTGTAGCATAAGCTTTCGAGAAACACAACTCTCTTCGTCAGATGCATGGAGGGCATGAAGAAACGGCCAGAGATACATAGGTGGTAAGGGGAGGGGGGAGAGAGGATGCAGAAAGTGCCATGTAACTGTTTTCTCCAGGGGGACTGATTGCTGTACACTGGAGGAGGGCTGTAGTTCCCGGAGATCCCCAGGTCCCACACTGGCACCCCTAATTTTACAATGCTATAAAATTATAAACTAAAGTTACATAGGCCCTGTTCACATGGAGCATTTGCCCCTCTGAAGGCACAGGAGTCCTGCAGAGTATCCGGGCGCGATCACACAGGAACATCTGGGAGGCGTAGCACTCCCGTGGCGAACCCGTGGCAAGGGCAAGGCGTGCAGTAAAAAGCCTCCTCACCGCATGTAGTAGCTTTGCCATGGGCCGCCTATGGAAGCCTCCCGGTGTGATCGCGCCGGCACGCGGCTTCCTCCCCCGTCGTCCTCTTTGCTGCAGGGAAGCCGCCCGTCATGTCTGATCGCATAATAGCGCATCAGAATGCGACGGCGCAAATAGCTGCGCTTCCCCCCCGCGTTTTCCGGCATGTCTGACCGGGGCCATAGTTTCGCTTATGTGGAGCCCAAATACAGCAAATAACTCAGAGTGCTGGCCATTTAATACAAGATACCTTAGGGGAAAGGGTCTTTCTCTAAAGCAGAGTATCCTGTGATATCCCCCACTAGATTGGGGGATTTCTTCCCTTGCATCAAATAAAATAGTAAATAGGGGGAGAGTGACTTACTGTCTTTATCTTTCTGGAATCTGGCCAGGTCCACCACTGGAGGCCTGCTCGGTTTGGTTGGGGCTGGGCCCAGTTTGAACGGTGGAGGTATTGCCTTCCGTTTGGGGCCAGCCAAATCCTTCTCTCCTTTCTCGTGGTTATTGGCCCAAGGCCCTGAGGTAGCCACTCTGGAAGGCACAAATTTAGCAGGCGTAGAAGGTGATCCCGAGTCCCCATGTTTGCTTCTGAAAACATCCTTGGTGACATTTGGCCTTGTTTCTTCATTCTGCTGTCCATAAGATTTTGGGAGACCATGAGGCGGTTTGTTCTGGTTGCTGACAGGTTTCAAACTGACAGGAAAACGGACAGGTGTAGGACTGGAGTCAACACCACTGGTGCTCTTTTCCTCGGCATCCTTGGGGGACTTAAATGAGTGGGTTTTTGGTTTGGGGCCCCGGAGGGGTGGAGGGGCCTGATTCAAAGAAACATTTTTGTTGGGAGTCTCTTCATTGTTGGCAGGATGAATTAAAGAAGGTCTCTGCTTCACAATAGCCTTTGGAAAAAGAGGTTTGGAGTCATTTTCCTGTGACGCAGTGATAAATGTTTCCTTAACTCCTGCTAGCTTTTGGAACACGGGTTTGGTCTCTGGTGTTTCTTGTAGTTCCGATTTAAAGTTTGGCTTCAGTCCTGAAGGCTTGAGCTCATTTTTCATGGGCAGCGTGGAGCCGGGCAGCCTGTTGTCCGGAACCTTTGGAAACACTGGCTTGGAGTTCTCTTTTAGGATTTCGGTAGGCTTGGGACCCAAAGGCTTAGGGAAGCTCACCTTTTCGTTGACGTCTCTGCTGGTCGCCTGAGCTAGCGCTGCATACTTGTGGGCTGCCGGGCTGCTTTTCAGAGGGGGTGGCTTTGGTTCCTTGTCTGGTGAGTCTTGAAGAGAAGGTTTTAGGCCCAAAGGAGGTCTGAAAGACGGAGACTTTTGAAGAGTGCTGGGTCTGGCAGGTGGACCAGCATTTTCCAAATGAGAAAACTTCTCAAATGCAGCTTTCGTCGCCAGGGAAGATTGTCCTGCCATTTTGACATGTCGGCTGTGAACTTCCTCGGCTGGGTTGTTGGAAGGGCTGAACTTCGCCATGATGGACTTCACGTTTGTCTGGCCATCCTACAATGTAAAGAAGATTTTTTAGAAAAGCGAGTGGAATGAGAACTGTTCGGTTGCAACGTTCGCATATGTTGTACTTTGAAGTCTTTCCTGGTCTGAGGCTTGTGACTCTCTTGATTGGTTAGAGATACCTCAGCGTTTAGCTTCCTGTATGGCTAAAGATGTTCAACATTTTTGCTACACAATCATTGTGGTTAAAGAAAATTTCAAGTTGCTTACTGCAGATGAGTCTTATTTTGCTGCCTGCAACAGTCCCCGCCTCATCTGCTGTCATTTCCCTCTCTCTTCCCTTTACACTTGTGAAACATGGAAGTTATATTTATATCATGCATTATTTCATGCTAATGCATAGGACAGCACTCAGCAACTCAACACCCTCGGAATATATACAATGCCCGTGTGCTCATGTGCAATGTTCCCTCTAAGCTGTGGAGTCTTGTGTGCAAAACTTCTACTTTGCGAGCAACTGGCATTAAAGCTGTGAGCCAGTGATTGGGCTACTGCATAAATTAGTTTGCTCTGGAGCCGTCCTTCCTGAGCTAAGACAAAAATCTGTGAGCTGGAGGCTAAAAAACTGTGAGCTAGCTCACACTAACTCAGCTTAGAGGGAACACTGCTCATGTGTGTTCTGGCTTCATGAAAATCACAACATTGTCCTCACTTTTGCTTTGACTTATGTTTTCCACTTAACTGAAACTATGCTCAGTCTAAGATTATTTGCAGCCCTTGGCACGCAGCTTCAGTCGGTCCCCTTGGAAACTGGGCTTTTCCCCATGCTGATTCTGACCTTGTTGTAGTCTATGAAAAATGAAAATGGCAGCTCTGTCAGCATGGTGGGCCTTTTGGTTCCAGAAAATGCCTCCTTTTGCCACCTGCCACCTTTTGGATCCAGCTCTGGATAGGAAGATGCTGAAAATCCACTCTTACAAATAACTTGCCCCCTCACAGAACTACATTTCCCAGGAGCCCGATAGTGTGAAAGAGTGACCGTTAATCCTGATTAAGTTCATAATGTAGGTAGAAAGTAATATATCTTTTAATGCCATTAAGGAACCATTTTCCTATAGCTATCTATTGACACAGCACTTCTGGACTCATTGGGTTGCTTTGCCAGCCAACTCGGGCTTGGGAAATTCCTGGGGATTTTGGTCGTGTTGCCCGGGAGGGTAGAATTTGTGGAGGCGAAGGAGCTCAGTGGGGGATCATGTGATGCCTCCATCCTACAAAGTTGGTGCTTGCTCCAGGGCAACTGATCTCTGTAGCCCGGATGTAAGTTGTGATTCTGGAAGAACTCTGGGCCCAGCCTAGATGTCGTTAAGCCTAGGAGTTCTTGGCACAGAGACCTGAATTTTGATGCAAGCTCCTTAAAAAAGTGAGTTATATATATAACTTTGTACTTTTTCCTCTTTTCCCTTTCCCCCTTTTTATATATAAACTAATAAAACTCTATTAAAAAAATGAGATGGACACATTCTTAAACATGAATGGGTTTTTCTCCCTTCCATTTCTCTATTGATTTGGCAGTTTGCTTTGCACTGCAATCCACTCATTGATTCTGATTTAGGAAAATACTTGACATTAAATCAGGAACTGAAGAGAGAAGAGATACAGTGTGTGTGTGTGTGTTCAGGGGCTATTTTGTTTGTTTGTTTTTGACCTGCAACTTTCTCCCCCCATCACTGATTCACTGTGTGCATTGATAAAAACATTGCAAAAACTGCAAAAAAGAAACCTTAATGTAATCGTACATCTGATCCCATCAAGCTTCATCTTCTGCACAGTTTTAATTATGTGTCTATGTTTATTTAGATATTTATACCCCACTTTTCTTCCCAATGGAGATCCAAAGCAGCTGGCGATATTGTTCTCCCTTTCTTCATTTTATTCCCCTAACAACACTGTGATTTAGGTGAAGCTGAGAGAGAGAGAGAGAGAGAGAGAGAGAGAGAGAGAGAGAGAGAGAGACACAGAGACACCACACCCCCGAGAGAGAGAGAGAGAGAGAGAGAGAGAGAGAGAGAGAGAGAGAGAGAAGCTCACACTGTGAGCTTCCACGACAGAGTGGAAATCTGAACACAGGTCATCCAGACATAAAGGAACTTTGATACAAAAGCACCTACAGACTCATCAAGACTGTTTTATTGAAGTGTTTTATCAATTCGGCCAAGTGCTATGTTAAGACAGAGAGAAGAAAAGTGTTATGAATGGAAACCTCTCACGCCCGGCACGCTGCAGAATCTTTGGAACCAAGAAACAGAGCAGTGGAGGATTCACAACGCACTGATGCCACTTTGGAAGCCAAGACTAAATAATATGGAACTCCAAGGAGAAAGTGAGAGGAAGTCTGAAATGAAAACCATAGGCTGTCAAGGATATATTGATGGGCCCAGCCCCATGGGTAGGGTTGCCAGCTCTGGGTTGGGAAATTCCTGGAGATTTGGGGGATGGGGCCTGGGGAGGGTGGGGTTTGGGGAAGGAAGGGACTTCACCAGGGTACGATGCCATTTTCTCCAGGAGAATTCATCTCTGTTGGCTGGAAAACAGTTGTAATTCCAGGAGATCTCCAGCCACCATCTGGAGGCTGGCAAACCTACTCAGAGGCAGCAAAGTCCAAATCCACAAGAGCAGAAGTGCCCAAGCACATCCAAGAATCCTTGCCAAATCATATATGTTTGAGGACATCCAGGGAAAGCAAGCCCAGGTTGAAAACCCAGGCAGTCTGTTGGATACAGTTCTGGTTTTCCAGGACAGGACAAGTGAGTCAGGCTGATCAAGCAGAGCACAAGTAGGGATGGAGATCCATGCAGGCAGACCAGTCTGGAGATCAAAACCATCAGACCTAAAGCAAATCAACCTTGGTCCTCTGATAAAAGGCCTTCTTGGATATCCCAGGAGGCTTGACTGATTGTGTAAGCAGCCAGAGGGCCTGTAATGGGTGGACAATTATCAGCTGTGGTAGACCAAAGGACTGTTAAAAGATGGTTTTCAGGTTGCTCGTTGAGGATGTAATTCTCAGGTGCACGTGGGCCTAATTGGCATCAGGCACATGGTGCACAAGGAGAAGGAGCTTCAACCCCACCCCGGTGTTATTTTCCCAGCATGAAATGGCCCAGAGAGCTCCTGTTTGCCCCTTCGGGGAAACTGATGTGTATTCCCCAGTACATGCCAGTTTCCTCAATGGGGCCAATAGTGGCTCCCCATGCCGTTTCAGATCAGGAAAATGGCACATGAGGAGGAAGACTGAAGCCCTTTCTTTTTCTCCGTAGCTTGGGAATTAAGGTCGGCAGCCTCCCGTCACTGTCTCCCCAGCATCTGATCGTGCCAGGGAGCAATTGCGCCACGGCTCACGAGATCTGTATGATCCCGCCGCCGCGTGCCTATTTTGGTGTGGCTTTTAAAAGCCACACTTTTGCCCGACTTTTTTTCCCCATGTGGCAGGGACCAATGTGGGACATCTGCCAGGTGGACTTTTAATGTGAATTAGCTCTGAGGCCAGGGGATTGGAACAAACAAGGCCCAATGAGTCCAGTCCTGACCAAAGCACAACCAGTGATTATCCTTGACAGAACAGAGATATGGTTGAGGACAGCAATGGTTTTTAACAGTTTTAATGGATAATAGTAGTAACAACTATCTGCCTTGAAAACTCCTTCCATGCCTTGTCCCCCCCATTGTTAGCTGTTTATTTTTAATTACAAATCAGGGGGCTAGAACTGTATTATGGCACCATGTCGGGGTTAAGTTTAATTAGATCTCATGCTGTCTAGGTTCGCCATCGCTTTTACTTTATATAAATGTTTTTATGGTTGAGTTTTGAACTGCCCTGAGCCCACTTGCCAGGAGGGTGGTATAAAAGACTACTAAATTAATAAATACATGGAGAATACAGGAGCCTGAGCCTGAGAATGAGTGAGCTATTAACCCAAAACGATTGAAAGGGGAGGGGTGCATCTGAGTTCAGCTCAGCAAAAGATATTGACCACCATTTCCAAGACAAGGGGGGCATCATTGGTCCTGGCAGCAAGCTGTGGCTTGAGTTCTTCCAGATGTCCCTATTTCTTTCACAACAGAGATGCCTATTGGCCTGTGGGCTTCTGTCACTCAGTAGCATCACTGGGAGAATCAGGCCATGGTGGAACACATCTTTCCTCCTAGGGCACATTCCCCTTCATTGGCCGAATGGTGTCCCGAGGGTATGTCTGTGCAAGCTAGAAGTCTGGGCTGTGGCCTCAGTCCTTGTTATGCCTGTAGCTACCAACAGAGAAATCTTCAACTTACATTAGTTATTCTAAGGCCAGATAGACAACCAAGACTGTGTTACATGACACTGGATAAGAGACACGAGGGGGAACGGAATAAGGAACTAAAATTGTGTTGATTCAGATGGCCTGAGCCGCTTTGGGGAATAAAGCCTTTGCCCATGTGATATCTGTTAATTAGAACTATGTCTCAGGGATTTGAGGATCATGCTGTCTAGGTTCGCCATCACTTTTACTTTATATAAATGTTTTGAACCGCCCTGAGCCCACTTGCTGGGAGGGTGGTATAAAAGTCTACTAAATTAATAAATACATGGAGAATACAGGAGCCTGAGAGTGAGTGAGCTATTAACCCAAAATGATTGAAAGGGGAGGGGTGCATCTGAGTTCAGCTCAGCAAAAGGTATTGACCACCATCTCCAAGACAAGGGGGGCATCATTGGTCCTGGCAGCAAGCTGTGGCTTGAGTTCTTCCAGCTGTCCCTATTTCTTTCACAACAGAGATGCCTAGCTTGGCCCCGTTGGCCTGTGGGCTTCTATCACTCAGTAGCATCACTGGGAGAATCAGGCTATATGCCAGGGTGGAACACATCTTTCCTCCTAGGGCACATTCCTCTTCATTGGCCGAATGGTGTCCTGAGGGTATGTCTGTGCAAGCTAGACATCTGGGCTGTAGCCTCAGTCATCGCTATGCCTGTAGCTACCAACAGAAAATCTTCAACTTACATTAGTTAT